TATTCGAAAATTTCAATCAAAAAAACAATGTAGCTATCGATTTTGTGTCCACTTGCGGGAGTTTACTACATGATTCGGTCATGTAGTAAACTCACATTTGCGGTTATATTAACCATATGTGGCTATGTACCTGGCATTATTTGTCAGTAATGAAAAAGCTCTATCTTTTATCAATTTTGGTTTCGGTGCGCTGTATTTAAGGTAGAATAAAATCTGGTTTCAACCTCAATGCATCTAGTCACTTAGGATTTTTCATGATAGGTTATATTCAGTCTTCAACTGGTCTAGTGATGATGAAAAACCAAAAACCATAATTATTTTCGGCTATTTTCCTTTCATCGTTGATTTCGATTTTGTTCAAATTTATCTTTAATTTTGTATAACCCCGTTCAATCATTGATGTTATTAAATTGTTAAGATCCTCTTGTCGATGAGTTTTTGCTATGGATTTGAATATTTTTCCAAGACCTACTCGGGATCACAATCAAGTAATATTGCTAATACACGTTCGTATCCGTCATTTATAAATGGCATTTTCTGGGTAAAAGTACGTTTGTTTCATTGCAAACAAGCGTCTTCTTATGCGGTTTTGCGCGTTGAAAAAGAAAAATGTGGGTTGAAATCTTCGAATTAAAATCAGTATTTGAAAAATCAAACTTATGAAAAAGTAGTGATGATTTGAAATTTTATGCTCTTCAATTTTTTGACCCGTAAAAAAGTGTTTTAGACCTTAAAACACACATATTCTTAATCAGCTCGATGTACTCTATCCAACCATGTATAAATAAACGAAAACAAAAATGGTGCTGCGTTTTTGAATTAGTGGCACCTTAATAATGATACTACGCTGTTTGATTCAAAAGTTACATATATTCTGAAGACCTTTGTTGATAATTTTTTCAGATGAGAAAAACACTAACTCTTAGAAAATCCTACTCGAGTAACCCAAAATCTTCCAGTATGTGAAAACTGCTGATGAAGAAATAGAAAAAAAAAGAAATCACTCAAAAAATCACTTAAAAAGATAAAAATAACTTATACTCAATCGTGTTATCCCTGTTTATCTGTTGTTTAGTCAAATAGAACATCATTTTGGCATCATTTATCTAAAAATTCTGTATTGCTAAAGGAAATAAAAGACTGAGAATTTAGAGTGTATTGAGGTAGAAAATTCCTGAACAGTTAGGTATTGCTTTTTACTAACACAAAAAAACAGTAATAATAGAATTTTTCGAGTAAAAAACTACAGTTTATCACTCACATATAACAAAGGAGATTGAACAAAAATAATAACAAAAAATTTGTATCTGAATATAATATTTAGCGTGTTGTCACCGGAATCTTATTGTTGTTCCATTTTCAAATCATTATTCCATAGATTGATTTTCTTCATCATCAAGATAGGGATCTAAACAAATCTGGGTGTTCAGAAAGAACTTAACTACAGTCACTCACATACCATCTTCATTATCATTATTATGTTCTCCTGCCAGGCCAGATGGGTTTGGATAATGTCCATGTTGGTATAAACCCTGTCCATGACCATGGCCGTAACCACCGTAATATGTTTCTTCTTCTTCTTCTCCTTCTTCTGCGTCATTGTTTCCATAATCAATATCTAAAATAGAAATCGATTTCAATCATCTATGTTAATCTCTTGTATCTCTTTAACGCACCCGAGCCGTCTTCATCATCTTCTCTCATATCATCCGACGGATCTCGATGTAATGCTTGACATTGAGCAATTGCTTGATATGTCGTTTTAAGTTGATCACTATCAGTAAATATGAAACGATAATTAACAGTTTGAATAGCATCGTATTCAACGGGTGATTCATGTTCAGTATCTCCACTCCCATTTTCTTGTGTTCCATTATCAGTTTCTTAAAGAAAATATATATTTTGCAATTTTAACATCATCATCAACGATCATATTACATACGATTATCTGTTGTTGTTTCTTCATCATCCTCTTTTGGTTTTTCAACAATAGCAACTAGATGTTCCTCGGGATGTCTTGGATCGTGTGAAACAATCCCATGCATTGTCAATGAAGGATAATCGATTGTGAGACCATCACCTGATACTTTGGCCCATAATATTTGACTATAGAGAAACAAAGACTTTTCAAATATACAAATGAAATCAACACTACATTTATGAATTTTACCTTTCAGCTATACACAACGTCCCTTCGCCAAGATAGTCTTCTTCAAGATAAACTTTTACAGACGAAAATTGATGACATATATTTTCTGTAGGAAATGATACTTGCACTAATTGCGTAGACATCTATAAACAATAGTGTATACAAAATATTAGAAAAGATGGAGCTCAATAGTATTGTGTCCCCTAGAACGGTATGTCATGAAACTAGACTCATGATGAACAAAATCTCGCTAATGAATAGACTGATGTATTGCTGTATCTTAAATTGCTTATTCCACATTAACTGTTTATAATCACTAAAATAAGATTAGAAAAATTCATTCTATTTTTATAAGAATAAGTTACAAAGAAAAGAAAAGAAAAAGCATATGAAAACGGATACGATAAGCATTCGTAGATATTTAAAAAGGTTAGACTAAAATACACCATAAATTATTGATTCGTCATTCTATTAAAAACTATAGACAGACAAAAAGAAAATGTACTGTATTCGCAATTCTGATCCAGATCATCAACAATGGACGGCAAAATAATGATGAAAGAAGAACGTATATCTGACAACAGAAAAATGATAAAGTTTTATTTGATTCCGTTTGAATATGAATGCGAAGAGGGTGCATTATTCACTTGTAAATGTGCTATTTGTTCACGTAAGAGAGCTATCTCTTTTTGTAACTAAACAAAAAAAAAAATAAGTATAGTAGCGTTTTGGCCAAAGTAAAAATGTTCTAGTAGACATACTCTCGAATTTGTTTCTCCCATATGCTCAATTTCTTTTGTTGATGCAGCTGCTTGAGTAAAAAATGTACGATTTTTATCATCCTAAATTAGAAAATCAACGATTACAGAAAAGTGACGAGACTTTTCATGTTACACATATACCAGAGACGAGTAATGGTCGCGATGACGTTCGTTATCCAATCGAAGATTTTGATTTTCAGCTTGTATCTGATCAATTTTTTTCTTCATTAATGCAATTATTTTTTCAAGTTCGACTGTTGAACGACCAGATTCGCCAATCTAAAACGTGTATCGTACATATATATTTCGTTATTTAAATTCAGAAAATGTACCATAATTCTAACTTACTCGTCGAATATTACCACTTGATGTTGAACGTGGACTCGAACCATTTCGTAAATTTTCATTTTCCATTTTCAAAAATGTAGAATACTTTTGCAACTCTTCTACACGTAACCGTACTCTAAATTAGATAAAAGATATATGTGTGTTGTTCTATTGCTTTATTGAAAAATAGAGGCCTTTTACAGTTTGTGGTGTTTGGTCGATCATCCCTACTATCAGTTTCAGAAAAAATGTATGATACGTATTATATCAGAAAATATTATTTATGAACAAATACCAGTAGTTTATCAAGATATGTATTTTCTTGAGTCAACCATCTTTTTATTATATGCACTCTGTTTTTTCAGTATTTATATGTTGTATAAAAGGCTGTTCATTGTGCATATTCAAATACATTTGCATTGATTTCACTTGTATATAAGACAAAAGGCTATATTTAGTTCTTATTTTGTGTAATCGAAAAGCTTTAACTCGAAACAGAAGAAAAACCGTCTATTTTGAACTGATTTCTCTGTCAGAAGACGTTAGTGATTTGTTGAGTGTAAACAAAGAGATATTGCAATTATAAACAGTTTCGTACTTGCTCAATTCATCTTTTAATTGTTGATTAAATTTTAGCAACTCCTTTTTATGTGTATCCAAATCGTTCACTTGTTGTATTAATTTTTCATTTGCTTCAGTCATACGTCTCATTCGATCATCCTGAAAAATACAACAATTACAAACACAACACATTAGTAATGGTACAAAAATAAATTGATTTTTTCTCAACTCACTTTAGAGTCATCATACGGACGCTCGGCTGTCTTTGTTTTTCGTAATTTATCCTCTAGTAGTCTAACTTGACGTCTTAAAGATTCTACAGTGTCATCTCCCTAAAAGTGTACAAAAGAGTACTATTTAAACCATGAGTTGTACAGAATTTCAATTTATTTCTCACTTGCGGTTGTTGAGTTAAACGCCGTTGTACATTGTCATTTAACAAATCATTCTGTTGTTGCATTTTAACTAGTTTGTTTTCACTTCGTGCTAAAATACAAACATCGTAAAGAAATCAAAGAGAAACAGATTAATATCTTACATAATCTCGCTTTGGCATCATTTGCTTCATCAGTCATTTGTTGTACAAGATTCTTCTGTGCTTTTAATTCTCGTTTTAAATTTTGTATTTGAATTTCATATTCATCTATTTTCTCCTAAATTAATAAAACAAAGAATACTTTTTTCATACGTTTCTCCACAATAACTTACTTGTAATTGAGACATTTTTCCATCGACTACTGCACTCACATTTTGTTGATCATCATTATTCGCTTTATTATAACGTTTATCTATATTATCTAAATCCGATCGTACCTCGGCTAGTAAACGAGTTAATACGTCATGTTGTTCTGCTTTTCCTGCAAATCCTTCTTTTAACTTTTTAATTGATGTTTTTAAATTTGTCGTTTTTGTTGACGGTTGTGTTTCACGATTTTCAAGATCATTCATAAATTGTTGAATACTCTTTTCTTGCTCATTTAATTTTGATTTTGATTTTTCAATTTCACGATTTAGTTCATTTACAATTTTTTCATGTGATATTTTATAACTAAGAAAAGATATGAGAATGTGACATAAAATTTGGATGATCTACAATGACTTACGATTCTCTATCATGTTTATATTGATCTATTTTTTGTGTTAAGCGTCCTTTCCATGATTCTGCCTCATGTCTTGCTTCTCGTACTTTTTCATTTAAATGAGCTATTGTATTTTCTTGAACGGTAACGTTTTCTTCCAATGCTCGTAGTTGTGCAAGCTAAAATGACAAAAATATTTGAAGATTTATTTTTTGTTCATTATCAATGAATCTTGAATCTAAAAAGCTACAATGCTATTAAATTTTAACTCAGTCATGATGTGATAGTCTCGTATGATCTATTCACAATCACAATTAACACATTTTATAGTGAATTATACACAAATAAAATACTTACTTCGTGTGATGTTGGTGTATTGCGATATGAGGCTGGATTTCCACCTTGAGCTACATATTCTTTAAATTTAAGAAAATCAATATCTCGTTTATTGTGTAATTGTTCATTTAATAATTGAATTTCTTCTTCATAATGTTTTGTTTGTTTATTTAAATCTTCTCTTGCTTCTTTTAATAAATCTTGATACTTTTTCAAACTTTCTTCTTTTTGTAAAATACGTGCCTAATAACACACAATAAATAATTATCTATAGATCATTTGAGAATCTATTTAATATCACTTTACTTGTAAACTATCAATGGTGCTTTGTGCTGCTCGAACAGCTGTTAAACGTGAATAGTCATCTGGTCGTGTCATTACATCCGATATTAATTTATCTGAATCGAGTATAGTCGTTGTTGGTAAACGTATTCTTAACTCATGAATAACTTTATCTCGAGCGAATATTGAATTTTCCATTTCTCTCACTTTGTCATTATTTTCTTCCATTTTCTAGAATAATTGAATTTTAAAATAAGACATAAAAATTAATTTTCTTATTTATAAGAGAGACCTTTTGAACTAGTTGATTTTGTACTTTTGCTTCCATTAATAACTGACAATGATCACGAATAATAGATAATGCTTGCTCTAATTGATGTGCAACAGGTAAAGACGGATCGGGATAATTACCCATTGCTTCTTCGAACTAAATAAAAAATTTTATTTTAAATTTGAAATATTTTTTCACTTTTCATACGATTTACTTACACGTTTTGCCGCATCAGCTATATCTGTTTGTTGTTTTTCTAATCTTTCAATTTTACGTTCCATTTCTAATTCACGATGTTCCCATAAAAGTTGTCGTTCTTCAATTTCCTATAAAATATATGATAATAAATTATTATTTCTTTTTTTAAATAAATAAAACACACAAACATACTTTTTCAAATTTAACATTTTGTTCTTCTAAATCAACAATATTTACTTCTAATTGGTGAATTAACGTTGTCAAATGCAAATTCTAAATTATTATCGTGTATTAATTAGAAACTTATTGAATTTTAAATAGAAAATAGAAAAATAGATTGTTAGTTTTCATCTATTTCACTTATATATGTATATTATAGAATATAGTATTCATCGTGCATATCTTATCTTGATAATCAAACTTTACACTGGACTAACTCGTAAATTCATAATATAAATGAGAAGTGATGTGTTCAACAAAAACAATAACAACAATCAAAGTCGAGAATTATTGTTTATCATGGATATTTTGGCAATAACTTCATACCTCTGCTTCATATCGTTTATTCAATCGAATATGTCTTAATTCATTTAATTTACATTTTTCTAATTTTTGTTGCCATTCAATCATTTTTTGTGTTCGAGAATTATCTTTTATTGTTGATACTAATTCTTCCAATAATTTATGTTTTAATTCATACGAGGCTACTTGTGTTTCTAGATCAAATTTTTGATCAGCAATCTTAATAGAAGAAAAAAAAATTATCAAAAACTTTTTTAAACAACTAGAATTATTTGAGTTACCGTTTTCATTTCAATACTCAATTGTTTTTTTCCATTTCTTAATTCGATCATTGTACGAGTAAACGATTCTTGTAGACGAAGTGGTACAGCACCAGCAAATTTTTGACGATAATCCTATTTATCAATTGAAGTTTTTTAAATATATAATTATTTTTAGTTAATTTATTCTCTCACCTGAAGTGCTGTTCTTAAATATCTTATTCTTTGAGTATATTCTTGTCGTATAAAAAAAAAACTTTGCTCTTTTTCATCTAATTTTTGTTCGGTACGAAATAATTGTGCTTTAATTTTAGAAATTTCATTCGATGATTGTAATTGTTTACGTTTATATGTTGCTTCGCTTATTTGTAATGATAAAATATGACGATGTAGTTTACCTAAAATATTTTCTTCTTCTCTAAACATAACCTTTTAAACAAAAAATAATGAATATCATACCAATTTCTGTTTTTTCATCTGATTGTGATTGTAAATCAACCAATTGTAAACGTAATGATTGAAATTCTTTTTCATCTAATACTTTCATTTCATTAATCGCTTCTGTTTGATATGCAGCTACTTCTGATATTTCACGTAAACGACCAATTTCTTGTTTATATTGAATTTCAGCATTTTCCAAATCAAATATTCGTCTAAAACAATAGAATTTGTTAATCAATGATTATGAATAGTTAATAATACTCATAATTTACCTTTGATTAGCATCATTTACCGTTTTTGGAACAGCATTCGATAAATCATCTCTCAATGCTCGTTCAGTTTTTTCCATTTCTAAATTCATTTTTGTTAAATCACTAAATTTTTTTTCTAATTCAATATTTCGATCTTCTATTTGTCGTAAATGTTGACGTTGTTGATCATATAATTTTTGTGCATATTCTGCACGTTGTCGCTCATTTAATTCTTTCATTTCAAGTACCGTTATTTTTCTTGATAAACCAGTTGAATCTAAATCAGCTGTGACTGAATGAGCAGTTGCATAGCCTAAATATTGGAATAGTAAAAATATAGAACGTTAATCAATATATGTAGGTATTAAAGCTTACCTGCGTTAATAAGTCCTTGATTTTTCAAATTTTCTAATGTTTCTTCTAATAAATGCATCTTTTCTTTATCTATTTCTAATTGTCGTTTTAAAAATTCGACTTCATCTTGTAAACGTCGTTTATCTTCCTAATAAAATATAAAAGTAATATGAAAAAACAAATAGAATTAAAAACTTAGTTAGAGAATTTAAAAATTATATTCAACTCTATATTCTACTTACACTTAATATACCCGATTGTTCTGTTTCTTGAATATGTATATTCTGTTTTTCTAATAGATCACGATATTTTTCCACGACATCTTCATATTTTTTATTAATTTTATCCATTTCTGTTTGATGTACACTTTCTTCAACTTGTTTTTGTAAATTTTTGATTCTATATGCAGCTGTATCCTTGTAACGTTGTAAATAACCGAGACGTGTTTGAACAGCTACTTCCATATCAACAACCTCTGTACGAAGTTTAGTATTGTCCTAGAATAATTTTATTAATTTTATATCATCTTTTCATAATAATATTTTATCTACCTTTCTCAATCTTCCTTCAATATCTTGATAAGATAAAATTTTTCGTCCTAATGTTTTTTCATTAACTCTCAATACCGTTATTTTTCGTGTGATTTCACTGACACGACGTCTAACTTCGATGTCATCTTGCCCTAATGTGTCTAATAAACGCTAAAAGAACAAACAAATTAAATTTTATATAAAATTAATTGTAAATATGCTCACATCAAATTCTTGCAATTTAACCATATTTTTGTCAATTTCCGTTTGTAAATCATTCTTCTTCTCATTTGTTTGGTCACGTTCTGTATTCCATTCATTTTGTTTATCTGTAAAATCTTTGTATAATAGACCTGTTTGATGTTTAATTACATTTAGTTTTCGACGATATTTATCTAATCCATCTTCTAATGCTTTATTCATTTCACGTTGAGCACTTAATTCCTTAACATAAGAATTTTATTTTGTTTAAAAACAAAAATCAATTTTTTCGTACATACAGCCAGAGCATCGACCAAATATTCATTTAAACAAGATATAATATCTCGACTCGAATGTGATAGACCATCAGGTAATTTTAATGATTGAAATGCTAACGGTGTAGCACCAGCATCTTCTAATAGTTTGGCATCACGTTGAAGTTTCTCGTACTGAAACAAAACAAAAAATATAATTGGAAAAAAGAAAATACAGTTCATTACACATACTTTTTCTGTTATTAATTTTAAATTAATATTTGATTTCATTGTTTCTTGTCTTGAATTATGTAATTCATTTCTTAATTCAGCATTTCTTCCACGTAAATTATCATTTTCACTTTTAATTAATAATGCCGCATCATATCGACCAGCTAAAGATTGAGTTTCAAGTAGCTACAAAAAAAATAAATAAATAAAAAAAATTTATAAAATAAAGTTATCTATTATTGGAACCATCTATTATGAACATACTTGAAGCATTTTTTCTAATGATGGACATTGAATCGAATATGCATCACCATCAGGAATTCGTTGAAATTTTTTCTGTTTTAATTGTTGATCAATTTCTTTCAAACCTTGTTCAAGACCATTAATTTCAACATATAATGCTTTATTTTCATTTGTTTTATCAAAAAGATCTTTTTTCAATTGATTAATATCATCATCCGATTGTTTCATTTGATGTTCATAATTATTTTGAACAACACGTATAACATCATCGGTTGTTCTTTCACTCGATTTGATAATTCCATCATCATTAAACCATACTGAATCACCTGTTAAACCCAAGTCAGCAGCACGTGCACCAGCTTGTTTAGCCAACTGACGACAATTTTGTTTCAATTTTAAACGTTCTTCTTCTAAACGTTCAATCTAAAAATTCAAATTGATCCTATACTCAATTTTGTTAACAATCACATCCTTTTATAATTACCTCTTTCTGTAATACTTGTACAACAGCTTGATTTGCTTCTGTTCTAGTTAATCGCGCTGTTTTCAATTGTTCTAAATTCATTGGTTTTCTAGGATCCATTCCTAGTTTAGCTCTCAATTCTTCATTTTCATCGTTTATTTCGTTCATATTCAACTCATTTTTTGATGCGAATTGTGATAATTGTTCCATTTGTCTATCTTTCAATTTTATTTGCTCTTTCAGCTGTCGTATTTCTTGTACAGCATCGCGTAATTCATATTTACCATCACAAATGTCTTGAAAACGTTTCGTAATATCATGCAATTGACGACCTTTTTCGGTTAATTCTGTTTCATAATCTTGAATTTGCTTTTTTAAACGTCCATAATCGTATTGTTGAGAACGTACGGTTGTTGGATCATTGGCAACTAGATATTAAATAAAATTTAAAGTGAGTTTTAATTTGAAGATTTCTATATACTCATTAATCCATTTTGCACTTTTTCCATAACATCCGTTTGTTTCGTTAAATTTAACAGTGCTTCTTCAAGATTTTTTCTCAATATAAGAATTTGTTTGTCTTTTTCTACCAAAGCCTACAATATAAAGCAAAAAATATGCTTCTAACAATGATAAATATATATTTAGAAATAAAGTAAACCTTATTCAAATTTGCAATGTCATTTTCTTGACTGCCACGGGGTATCAACTGTAATTTATTGTACTGGTCAAGATTTACACGTTGCAAATGAGCAATTTCATCATCTTTTGCTCGAAATGCTTCCTATATAAACAAAATTTAATTAAACATTTTGACTAATACGATATTTACTATTACTTACTGTCCATTGTCTAACTTTATCTTCAACAGCTCGCATAATTAAATCGTCATCGTCACTACGATCATCTTGTACTTGAGGTTTAAGTAAATTCACTTCATTTCTTAAAGAAGAATTTTCTTGCTCTTTTTGATTTAGAAGGATCTAAATACGAGAAAAATATAATATAATGTAAATAAATTGTGTGCTTTTTTTTACTTCTTACTCTTGATCTTGAATGTTCAGTTGACAATTCATTGATGTGTCTTGTTGCATCAGCCAATTCACGTTTTAAATCTTCTGATTTTATTTTTAATTTTTCATTATCATCATGAAGTTGCTAAATGGCAAGAAAATTTTTTAGTCTCATACAAATGATAATATTCAACAAGATACCAAGTTTTCTGTTAATATTTCATTTAATTGTTGTTCATATTCTCGTAATTTTCCTAATTTGTCTTTATCATCTGGTCTTGTCAGTTGATTTCGAATTTCTGCATTGCGTTTTGCCAAATCATCGTTTATTTTTTGAACGGACATTTTCTAAATAGGCAAAAAAATACAAAACAATGTTTAACTAAACAAATATAATTTATTCAAATTTTACCTCATTTTTTAAGTCTTGAACAAGTTTTTCTCTTTCACCTAAATTACTACGGAGCTAAAAAATATGAAATAAGAATAATATCAGACTAAAAGATAAATAAAACTTAAAATCGTACTTGTTCAACTTCATGAAGACTATTTTCATATTTTGATCGATATATTTCAGCTTCATCTCGCATTCGTGCAAGTTCTTCGTTATACTGTTGGTAATTTGAAGTAGTAGTCTAAAAGAGCATAACAACGATTAAATTAATAAGAAATGACGAGATTAAATAATATACATCGGCGCTTCGAAACGTTCCCAATCGTTTATCTAAATAAATAATAATAAATAATATCCATTTACAAAATTAATTAAAATAACTAACTTTCATCCACAAGTTTAATCAACGACTGAAAAGCTTCTTCTTTTTGAATTTTAACATACTAAAAAATCAAAAACATACATAAACTAAGCGAATATTTAAAAAGGGTACTCAATTGTTTACATTAATAAATTTTTGTCCCAAACGAAAACCATGTCGTAATTCATCAATATTATCAATATCATCTGGATTGATCTAAATAAAATAAAATAAACATGTATTTCATATAAACACATATTTCATCCAAATATACACCTACATGTGAAAATGATGTACTCAATTGCTCAACGTGTTCTTCGTCATCATTATCAATATCAAGTGGATTTAGAACGGCTAGTCTATGCCATTCTGAATTTACTGGTGGCATTATGCTTTAATCACTGTTTCATATCTAATATAAATAATAAACAATAACTGCAGTTCAAAAAATCATTTTTTTAGAGGAAAAGACAGATTAAATTAAAAATTTTAGTCAAATTCAAATAATCTAAACAAACAATTCTGAAATTATTCAGTAAAAATGATAAACGAGATTAGATTGCATTGTTATCAGCAAACAAGGATTATCAGAAAACCTGTTTACAATCAAAAACTTAAAAAGTTATAAAAATACATTTTTCGTATAAAAATTTAAAAATATGTTAAAAATACATTGCAAAGATTATTTATCTTAAAACTATACATATATTCTCTCATTCTTAGCGAAGCCAGTTTTCTCTAAAATTTGACCAAACAACGATATACTAGAAATACTATACGGTGGAACCCTATCAGATACGATCATGCAATAAACTAATAGTTTATTCAAAATTTAACAATGTCAATTTTAAATTTAATACTAAAAATAGAGTATTGTTAAATATATTTTTATTTCCATTCTTTGAACATAAAAGTAAAATTATATTTAAAAAAATATCGGCTGTTATCGTTCAAATCGGATAATTTCTTAGATAAAATTGATAATTTTTCAATTGCTTTCAAAACAAATGATGGGACTTCAATATCATCACTCTTCAGACATTTTATTGAGTTAATTGTGAAAATAATTGAAATTATATATCATTCATTCATTAATTGTTTTTAATTTAAAACATTTTCTTTAAATAAATTCGTATATCGTTTATTATTCATATCTGAACGAATTTGATTATAAAACGATTTCACATCAATTATTCTATCACACGTTAACAGGACGATATTCGATTAGTTCATTTTTCTTTTTTGTATTAATAAACGTTTATTGAGTTCTGTTTTAATACACGTTTTTAATTAATATACGTTTTTATCATCTGTCTAGCTCACATGCTTTCTTCTTCAACAGTCATTTTTTGCATGATGTTTGTCTTATAATAATCAATTCATCATAGAAACTTACAACGGCTTGTAGTTTTATTTCATCTATACCGTGTTGAAAACTAAACAATATATCGACGTCATCATCAGCAGTCCGCAGTTGTTCTTGTTGTCGCCAATATTAGATATTCGATTATGTATAATCTTCGTTCAGTGATTGATCATTATCACTATGCATCTTTGATAATACATTAATATCTGATTCACAAACAGTCATCTGAAATCAGACATTTAGAATCTATTTATCTAAGTAAACAGTCGTCGTTTGTGGAAAACTTTTGTTTTAAAACCTCAAAACATGAAAACATATATCATCAATGATACTAATTCTAATATGATTGCTAGAGTTGTTCGTAAGTCTTTCAAAACTGGTTCCTAAAAACTATGTCTCCTAAACGCAACTTTTCTTTTGAAATCAGTTTTGAACATTGCCAGTTGGTGCAGTGTGCACTAAGTATCTAGAAGTATAAACTCTTTGGCTATTGATCATAGTATCAAAGAGTCATAAGCAATTTACTTTCGGCTTCCGCTGACCAGTCACATCAGTTTTACACCCCTCTAATATGTGACTCCTATTTACGGCACTGTGGATCTTACGAGAAAAGTCAGAAAAGGATTAGTTAAGACGTGTAGCTGGATTCAAATAAGTGATAGATTACTAAAGTCACTATCACCCTCCAATATTTCATATTCACCTTTCTCTTTTGCTCTCATTTTCCTTTAAAATTCATCATCTTTTCCTATCCGTCGTATTCCAATAGAATCTTCAATTAATTTGTATTTATTGTTTATTGTTCTTTTTCTTGTCTTTATATAATTCTTACCTTTAGAAAAACTGTAAAAATGTGGTTTAACAGTAAAATCATGTATCATATAATTTCCTTTATCATACATATAATCGTCCCTCTTTAGGGTTATTTTACTCTACTCTAAGAAGATTATTAAAAACGAGACGTAGATAACTATACATAGACTGGATGATTTATCTACCGTCAACTCGTATTTTGTCTCAAATTGTTCAACATATGACGAACAGCCAGATACTAAGAATTGTCTTCATCTTTTTATATCAGATTAGTTATTTTTTCCACTGTATATGAATATCTGTATGTGTCGTTTTTATTTGAAAAATTTACAGACCTTGGGACCTCTCATGTTTTACTGCTATATGTACTAAGACAAAGACTAGCTTATTCACGAAAAGTGAGAGTCTTCAAAGGTCCCTAGTCTGTAGTGACAATGACTCAATCCAAAATACAAAAATAAAATAGAAAAAAAGAACTAGAAATAAACAGCGAAAAAACGAAACCAGAGTATGCAACATAGAAATCATAATACGTCAACGATAAAGTTAAGCACAAATAAAGTAACGTTAAGAGAACTAGCGCGACTTTATTATGACTAGAAACATGATTAAATTTTACTGGAAGAGATACTGAGCTAGTGCTTCATTAACTCTCTGATTAATTCATAAAAGTGAGAGTCATCAAAGGTTCACGATCTATAATAATAATGACTCAAGCTAGGCAGCAAATGATTGACGATAGGTAATACACAAAATAACAAAAACAGCCAAAAAAAGTATGAACTAGAAGACGAAATGTTTAGAGAGATAAGAAAAAAGAAAATTATAAATTAAACGTTCTAACATTTTAGAAACAACAGGAAGAAGAGAGAAAAGAGGATAATTAGAAATATCGGCAAGAGCGCCTTTCTTGTCAACATATGCACTTTTCGAAAATTACAAGAAGAAAAACACAGATGCAAAATGAAATGAAGGTGAGCTAAACGAATGTCAGCATACGGAGAGAGGATGAAGCATTAATGCAACAGTAGATCTTTTATCAAACATTCGGAGTAGGATCTCGACATCCCGCACGGAGAACTCAAGCTACTTATCCATCCTTGGCAAGTCCGCAGTTGCAGAGAGAGAAACTTTGCCCTGAAAAGAAGAATAACCAGAAGAGAAATGAGAGCTGAAGAGTTCAGCTTCACATATGTTACCAAGCTCTCGCTGCTCCTCTAAAAGAAAAACAGCGTATACCTAGTTGGTCTCTGAAGTTGGCATGTTTCTGTCTTCCTTCACGGTTGATAATAGCAACCTAAAATCGAAGTTCGCATTGGAACATTCCATGGCCAATCCAAAACTCTCTCTAAATCGTTCATTTGATGCATTATAAAACTTGACACCGAAAAGGCGAGTGACCATATCATCTACTTTTCTGTATATTACATTCAGAAAAGTGCATGAACTTCCTTTGCTAATCATCTATTACTCACCTTAGTGGAAGAAACTGCTGCTCTCGTGGATCATCAAGTCTTATAGGTGGCACTATCTGCAAAAGTGTGTGACTTAGTCTGATCTACTAAAGTGAGTGATAGATGATAAACAAAGGAAATTCATGCACCACACTTTTCTGAATGTAATATACAGAAAAGTAGATGACATGATCACTCGCTTTTTCGATGTCAAGTTTTACAGTATGTACATTAGAAACCGTGAAATTCTTTACTCGTTAATAATGGCTAAAAGAAGTAGAGAACACTCATCTGCGATTTGCTGGACCCTTGACTTTAGTCCCGCTGCATGCAATGATCGTTCATTGTGTGAGCAGATGCATGTCCATTGCTAGTAAATGAAGGAGATCTTGCCTCCCATCTCTCCGCGGTCGCAGCATGCATTTAGTGAACACACACGGATTTATATCAAGAGAAAGGTTTCGTTTATCGTATCTCTGCTCTTGCAGAGTAGTCTTTGTAGAGATCCACCCTAACTTTCACCGATTTATCGTAGTTCTGAAGTAAAATTGTGATTAATTGCGATTTTTCTTCTGTGTTTCTGTGAGAACAGGCAAAAAAGATAGCCGGGTAATCGTGCAATTTTTCGCGATTAATCACAGTTTTACTTCAAAACCACGATAAATCGCTAAAAGTTACACGATTTTGATGCCATCGGTCCAGGTACCACATACTATAGTCAATCAGACCAACGCAGGAATTGATCGAAAACATTTTCACATTGACTGTAGCAACCTATATATATATATCTGTAAGTTTAATGTCGCTAAAGGATCTATCTATTATTTCCCGTTAGTAATGGGCGTCAGTTCTGTGGGACGTTTGAGGTACAATGCCTCAAAGAAAAGTAAATTGGTACGCTTTTTTGCTCTAGAAATTCATTTTTGCGGTGGTACACTGAGAGATCGAACCTCCGAGATGATACAAAATGCCTCAACTATTCAGGTGGCGATAGACGCCGCTGCCCGTTACAAAAAAAGATTCTTTTACAGAAGAGGTGCTGTCATTAGCGTCGCTGTGTCTCTACTTTATAACAACCGACATTACGAAAGTTTTTTTGAGACTTCTAAGAGATCTCCGGCATCAGATATCATGCCCACTGATCATTTCTTACTGAGAGCAGTTCAGAAATTGCTGGAAATTGTGAATCTTTTTTAGAAACCCTTCGGATACCTAGAGTCGGCTCTGCTAAATCTAGTATGCCCGATTACTCATCCTACGGTACTTTCATTGCCTTAAGTTATATTTTCCTGCTAGTTTCTCAAAAGATATTAATTGCATTGTTCATTAGCGCCGCCTATAAGGCGGAGAAAAGAAAATGTTTAGTTCGTTTTATCTCAATATGTTGTTCATTTGTCTCATCCACTATGTCCTTCCTTATCTGTTGTCACATGTACTGTAACTATTCTTTTGCATCGTTGGAGAATGATCCACAAAATATCTATGGTCATTTTCTCTGATTTACAAACCGACGGATAGAGAGAAAACTCGTTTGTAAGGCCCGATACTAAAGCCAAGGAAATGACTGATGAAAATTTCGCCTTAAGTAAAGAAAAAGTGTGAATTATAAAAGATATACATTAAAATACAGGTCATAGTCGCAGGACCAGTTTTTTCTAACGTTTCGAAAAACTATATTTAGTCTCGAATTGCGTCATAAGTTTTGAAAAGTGACATCTTTCATACCAATTTCTGCTTGGCTGACTAGTTCAAACATTGCTACTTAACTAATGAGAAATCGAGTGGATCTATCCACAGTTTTATCTATGGAATCCTATTTAGAGCAAATTGATTACGGCGAAAAGAATTTCACCATCAGAAACAAAAAATTCTATTTACTATAGCACAAGTCGTGTAAAATATAAATGAAAATTGATGTAACACGTAGGCAAGCTTAAACTTGTAAGCCAGTTTTGTAATCGGCAGCCATGCGGAAAAGCGTTTCATCTACCATGGTCAACTACTAAGTGTAAGTCATGTGCATGCTCGTCTCATATTATCTTATCCTGATTTAATTTCTCACAAAATTAATTGATGTGCAAAACTTTTCATAAATGAAATGGTAATCCAGAAACCAAGTTAGGACGAGATGAGAGACTATGTGCATGTGCATAATAACAGAAGCTTTTTCGACTGAAGTTGTCTGATGATATTTGACTAGCAACATTCCGCTAGCAATAAGGTGCTGAGAGTACAACTTCGTTATAATATAGAAATAATTTTGTTCTTTTAAAAACGTGCGTCAAATTGATGAAAGATGAATTTTCTTCACTTGCTATTGAGCTTTAGTCTCCTTTTTTCTAGATGCATCGAGTCACTAATAGTTTCGTTAATACTTTTGCATAATCGGGCAGTAAGACATCTTTTTATTGGATGATGATACAGAAATTCCATGTTTTACTTCTACGTGACTCAAAATCCATGCAATGAAATATGAAGTCAGCGTTCTTGATTTGTCTAGAGAATCTCTAACAAGAAACACGTTGTTGTAACGAAAACTCTTCTACAGATAAGTTTCCATTTTGGTCATATGTAAGAACAACCAAATTTTATCGGTCAGTGAACTTTTTGTTGATTTTGACTGGACTTCCATTCATGATCTGCCATCTTTTCTGGGTTTCTTTATCCATTAAAATTTATTACTTTTTATTCAAAAAAATCGTGAATCTGTAGTATTTGTGTGATTTATCAGTTTCTTTTCCGGAACAGATATTATTTTTCTCAGCTTTTTTCTCAGCTATGTGTAATTTACTATATATTCGGTGAAATTTTATCTGGTTTTATTCAAAAATCAACAACAGTGAAGACCGGACATCAGTGTTAGAAAGAAAAGTGTTTGACGCACATGGTAGTTACTTTACTAGCAGTTACAATAGTGTTTGATACACATTAAACACTTTTCTGATCCATTACATAAAAAGGGTCGATGTTTTGACCTAGCTTATTCTCCAAGTCGTATTTCTCTTTCATTCTGAATCTGACAGACATAGAACTGTGCTTCTTGATGACGTCAATGTATTTGAGTTATCCTGATTATTAATTGGATCGCACTAGTAGCCGATGTTCTCTATTGTTGTTTTCTTAAATATAGCGTTTGAGTTTTATACGCCTTGTACCAATATGAGAGACTCTCTATTAACCTCTCTTAGCTTAAGATATTTTTATGCTTTTTAAGAATATGTACGATAAAATGGATTTGGATGTGATTTTATACACTTTCTTTTCAATTCTTTGTCTGTTATTTGAGCTTTTCACTGTTTTAACAAAACGTACTCCAACTAGCTCAGGTGCGGTTTCAAAAGATCGTGGAACACTTGTATTTATCTGGTTGATTGTTATTCTAAGTCAGGTTTTATCAGTTCATTATGTTAGACTTGGATATGGTACTAAAATTTTTCAACAAAATGAATATCGATTCTTTTTCTCTATTCCATTAAGTATTCTTTTAATTATATTTGGAAATGCTATTCGATACTTGGCAATTAAGCAATTGGGTAATTATTTTACAGTAAAATTACATATTCAAAATAATCAAGAATTAATTATTAACGGACTATTCTCCTATGTTCGACATCCATCGTATACTGGTGTTATAATGTCATTTATCGGTTTAGCATTCTTGTTAAATAACAATTATGGGACATTTGCTATTATTTTGCCAGTCATATCGGTGTTTCTTTATCGAATATATGTTGAAGAGAAAGTATTAAAGGCATATTTCGGCTCACAGTATGAAAAATATCAAGAGCGTGTACCCATGCTAATACCAAGATTGTGGTGAACAAACAAAAAAAAAGAAAAAAACTCTGAAAATGATTTACAGTAGTCTTCTGATAAAAATCTATTCTTACTGTTATCTAAATGAAAAGTATTTTAGTATTTTTTATTCAATTCTTCCATGCAATAATTTTTAACTAGTCATTGATTTTTCACACATTTTATAATAATTTTTACCTCTCAACAAAAAAACCGTAGCATTTATTCAAATTTTTGTAAGTTCTCAAAAATAAGTCATATATCTTTTCATCCAACTGACGGCTAACAAGTTTTAACTTTGTTTAACTCTGAATATTTTACTGCTACTCAGGTTGAAATAAGTTTGTTAGAAAATCTACAGTTGGCTGATTTTTAATAATTTCCCAATACAATATTTTATGCTAGATCTATGTATTCTACGATTTTCAGCGAGTCACTTTTTGTTAAAATATATGAAACCGGTAATATATTATCACGACAGGACCTCAATAATCGTGGCATGAACCAACAGTTTACCATTCAATTCTTATTTGTCAGTCTTATTGAAGAATTGTTTTGCTTTTTTTCTTCCAGATCTGGTTATTATAATGATCTTGAAAGATCTGTTGTCCTATTTTATGTTTTCCTATCAACATTTTTATTATTATTTAGTATGTATTGGTATCGTTGCTGCAGTTGATACTTGGAATTCGATTGTTCGATTAAAGCCAGACACAAGTGGAAATGAAAGAAAGAAAAGTGAATCAGATAAACAAGATAGTAAAAACTCATCTCGAGATAAAGGTACATTAACATGGATTTATATTGCAAAGTTTGTTCCGAATGCTGTTGCTATTCTACTATACTATTTTTATCCAAATTCCCGTTATTCATCATTGTTAAATTCAAATATATCATTAATTATTGGATTATCATTATTCGTAATTGGTTTTGCTATAAGACAAATAGCAATTATACAATTAGGTCGGTTTTATACGTACAAAGTTCATGTAGTCAATGATCATGAAATGATTGATACAGGTTTATATCAGTATATGAGACATGTATGTATTTGTTATTAATCTTAAGGCATAGATACACTGTTATATCTGAATATTTTAGCCAGCGTATACTGGAACATTTTTAGAATTGACTGGTGCAGCTATTCTATACAATCATACAATAATATCATGCTTTTTATCATTGCCATATTTAGTTGTTGTCCTAAAACGAATAAAACAAGAAGGTAAATTTATATAAATGGCTTTAAAATTTATGAAAATAATTTTTGTTTGATTCAGAAAAAGTTCTACTAGAAAAGTTTGGTCCAAAATACCAGAAGTATTGCAAACGTGTTGGTATGTTTTTACCAATGTTTCGCTTATAAATAGAAGAAATATCAATGTGTTCATTTTATTGTGAATGATGTGTTTATGTATATTTGTCATTTTATTTTATTCAGATATTTCAGCCAGATGTGTTCGAAAAGTCACTATTATGTTTTTTATTACTAATTTAGCAAAAATAAAACTGTTGAACAGTCTATTGTTGTCTAGTATCTTTATCTGTCATGTTGATCACGACTATCGTTTGGAAAAGATGTTTTCTAGTTTAAAAAATTCTGTTATCACAGTTTATTATATGTCTTTAGATAAATATATTATAATATGTTTGAATTTACTCTGAAATTTTTGACCGGTGAATCACGAAAATATGAAGTTGATGAATCGGTAAGTAAACGATTATCGCTGTCTGTGCTTCTCATTATTATGAAATTATTCCTTCTAGGAATCTGTTCGACAATTTAAAGAACGTTTACGTGATGAATTAGTAAGTAGTTATTTCAGTTAGACACATACGCGTTAGTTAACGTTGAAACTTTCTTTTTCAGAATATACCAATTGAACGTCAACGATTGATATTTCAAGGCAAAGTTTTACAAGATGAAACGAAACTTATTGATAGCAGTATGTTAAGTTTAAGGTGTGGATTTTTGAATTTAACTAAAATTTTTATATTCAGACATTCAAAACAAAACAGTTCATTTTGTCGAACGTGCTGAACCACCTCCACCACAGAATACGAATAATGGTTTTGGTGGTGTAGCATCAGGAACAGCGGATATGAGTCAATCGATGCTGGATGAAGTCAATGAAACAACAAGTGTATTTATCAATGCCTTTCCTGGATCCATGAACTTAAATTCAAATGATGTTCAGGTACGTGCCATTCTTTTGTCACAACACCTAGCGGAAATTTATTATCTCAGGCGAACAGAAGAGATAAACATACGATCTACCTGTCCTTTTTTGCTGATTTTTGTAGAGTCTTGTTCAAAATTTGTTAAATGATCTTGGTGACGTTGGACGACAAGCTCGAGTCAACACAACAATGACTGTTAGTTATTTATTTTTCATAAATAGACCATTATGGTATTAATTTTCTCTAAACATTGTAGTCTGATGGTCAAGGTGTTGATATACAAATTGATTTTGGAAATGTCGCACAATACTTACAACAACATGAATTACGTGAACGATTTCGTTCTATTGGACGTATGATGACCCGTTTACGTTCAAGACTCGATCGTCTAGAAGTGAGGTGTTTGTTTCATATTTCTCTTACTGTACTTGTTTGAAAGAAAAATGTTTGTTTTAGCAATTAATTGAATCAAATTTTCGTTTGCCAACATCAACAGCAGAAAACTCCGAACAGCAAAATCAGACAAACGACGCAGATGCATCAACCTCATCATCTACAGGCCCTGAAGATATAACAAGTGAAATGGATACAGATGATTCACAAACATCGACACCACAAACAAATGCACAGTCAACTACAGCATCGAATGAAGCTTCGGCACCAGTGACAACGTAAGCGCAGATTGCAGAGAATATTTTCAGTCATACCGATAGTAATTATATGATTTTAGTCACACTGCTCGGGAATTAGCTGAACTCATGAATTCCGTCGATGCTGAACAACGACGTTTAAATAATCATTTTCAAGAATATATGCGCACAATTACACGCACTGAATCATTTGTAATTTAAAAGCCTTTAGTCGTGTAACTTTTTGTCTCTTTATGGTAAATTTGTTTTTCATGTTTAGGGCGAAGAATTAGCCGGTCGTCGACGTTTTTTTTCTTTGTACAATGAATCTTTACATTTAATTTCTCATATCTATCATAATATAACCGATTTCAGTGTTGATCTTGAAGAACCGTTAGAAACACGTGCCATTCATCTCGGAGAACCGACGAATTTAGGATCTCCCAATATGATGGGTCCCGTTCACAATGCAACTGCAACAGATCAAAATATGTCAGCAGTTCATAGACTTCCACGTCTCAATAGCAGAAGGGTTAGTTTGAAGAGATAACATATACTGTCATATGCTTAACATATATTTCTGTTTTTTATAGCCAACAGCTGTTGCAACAGCACGGATTATGGGCCCAGTCTCTTTTGGAGCAGGACAAATGGGCTTTCGCCCTCAAACTCCACAAGGCGGAGTCCACTTCCATCCTGCATCTATGGGAGTTCGTCAAGTACCAGAAACCGTATGTTTCAGTATCTGTTTTCTTTTCAGTTGTTTTGAAGGAACTTTTTCTCTTAAAGGTCCCAAATAATGCTGAACAATCATCGTCTACGCCATTAACATCGACCATGCCTGCAACAGCGTCAGGTATGCAACCAATGACGTTCAATCTTGGTGTTCCATGGACATTTGTAGAAATGGGACCAACTGGTATCACATTAAATCAAGTATCAGCTCAAGTAGTTGCCGACGTTCAAACATCTGATGGAACATCATCGATGCCTACAGAAATCCCACATCTCACGAATTTATCAGGCATGCCAAATCTTAATAATTTACCAGGCATGGCAAATCTCAATAATTTACCAGGCATGGCAAATCTCAATAATTTACCAGGCATGGCAAATCTCAATAATTTACCAGGCATGGCAAATCTCAATAATTTACCAGGCATGCCAAATCTCAGTAATTTACCAGCAAATGCAACTGTAATTATGGGTCAAAGAGCAAGTAAGAGCTAAACCAGAGACAAAGTTGGTGCAGATTAATGTCACCGAAATACTTTTCACAGCTGATGCAAATGGACAACCTGGACCAATTCAAATCAATGGGGGAGCGTTTGATAACAATTTTGCTGCTTCGATTGCACAACGTGTACAAGGTATTGGTCTCAACGCTGGGCAAGAGTTTAATCACACCTCTGGGTTATGTAATCTTTATTGCTTTAACGTTTAGAACATTTTGCTCAGTTAGCTGGACAAACAGCAGCAGGTGTTGCAAGTGGTTCGACGAATGTCTCATTTTCGACACAAATACCATCAAATGATAATAACCAATCATTAAATGCTGCGGCAAGCACATCAGCAACAAACGAACGCTCGCAAGCTCATGCAAGATATGTGCCGAGTGGGACACTTACCGTGAACCCTTTGACTGGACGTTTGGTTCTTGATGGTTCATCTCGCTCAAGATCAGCCGATTCGAGACCAGCTTCTAGTTCTAGTGCAACAACACAATCTCCTACAGGCAGTCCATCACAACAAGCAACAAACTTCACCATGATGACCAGTCATGATAATCCACTTCAGGGCAGAATGATGATTCCTGGACAACGAACAACAATTCTTCGTAAGTGTATTTTGTTCTTTTACGATTAGACACATGCTTTACAATATATGTTCTATTTGATTACAGAAAGCGTCGATCGCTCGCTGCCGTGCACTTCACGCTATTTTTCTCATACAATACGTTCACGTCAAGACGGTAGCGGAGCTTTTGGGCCTGACAGAGGTCGTAATGTTTTTATTCGTCGTGGAAGACATCGTCATCCAGCGGGACATGGTAGATACATTTATCAACAACCACCGCAACAACAAACACATCCATCCGGTACTTCAAATGATTTTATTATGTCTTCAGCTGGTATGCCCCCTTCGGCAGAGTCAATGTTTTCTTCAAATAGTGGACAATCATTTGTAACTGCACACACATTTGAAATTCCAATGATTATCTCTGCCTCAACGGATATTTCTCAACAACCACAAGTATCATCGCAAGAGCAACCCTCAGCGACGTCTTCTTCGCCAGATAATCAACAAACGCAAGCACAGCCAACGAACAATCAGCAGAACGCTGAAACACAACAAGCACAGGTAAAGGAATTGCTTTTTATACTTGGCCTATTGTTTATAATTGAATATTTGTTATACCTAGAATACAATTTTATCTCAAGTACTCTCACAAATCTTACCTGGTGTTTTGAGAAGTGGAACTGGTCGTATTAGATGTAAGTAGAAAATTCTTTCCTTTTCAATGATAAAAATGCTACATTTTCGGCTGTTTCTCTAGTGAATATAGGTCAAATGAATGCGAATGGAGCGGCGCCACAGATGTCTGTAGGCAATAGTATGAATTCGACACCATCTGCGAACACAACACCACGAGCAGCCTCTGCTTCCACCTCGACATCTGGAACTAACGCAAATCCAGCTACTGCAACGAACGAAACTCAGAATTCGTTGGGTCTTGACTTTACTGGCATCGCTCGATCAATTGGAAGTATCGTTCAAGAAATAACGGGAAGATTGACTGGGACCACATTTGGTGCGCCAAATCCAACTGAAAGTTCACCCTCAGTGTCCTCCACAACTACATCTACATCATCAACTACATCAACAAACACATCTTCATCTACGTCGAGAACAACTCCAACACAAGATGATACTATCACAGGACAGATGTTGACTGGTAAGTTCTTTATGTTCACTTGTGTTTATGTGTTTTCAGTCTTTAATTTCCTTGTATGCTCGACAAATGTATCATTTAGAATTGGTGAGGTTATTCGGGAATGGTCCTGAAAATCCTGAATTGAATAATTTAACAATTGGAACATTTATGCAACGCTTTGGAGAAGATGCTGACTCACGTAACAGTGATGGTATGTATCAAATGTGTTCCTCGTCATTTAGCATGCACTTTTTTTTGAAGATGTCTCTAGAAAAATGATGGTTATTTTATTCAGGAACATCCTTAGTGAGTGAATTATTTTCTGTCATGACTTCACAAATGAGATTTTCCGATGTTTGGAATCTTGTACTGGGGAATCCAATAGTTGGTACAAGATTTAGTGCAGCCAGACATTCAGCTACCGATTATTTACAGTATGTAAAATTGAAAAGTAAACGATGCGACTATACTATGAATTGGTTCTTTTGTTTTTAAGAAATACTTTATTACAAGGACGACCTATAACACCGGAAACAATTGATGAATTATGTGCACAATTGTATCAATCACTCATTCAAGAAGCCTCGATCGATTTTGTAAGCAGCATACACGTGTTGACAAGCACATCTGTTCTATATATCATATCTATTTTTCAGAATGAACTTCCTGTAAAACCACATATTAATTTGAAAAATGTGATGAAGCGTTTTTTCATGCATCATGGACGAGCTATTCTGAATATAATATTTCATGATGGTAATCAGACATCAATTTTAGTATTAGGTATAAAGCTATTGTTCATTATCAATTATAGATGATAACGTATGGTTTGACCATTTTCGTCAACAATTAATTTGTCTACGTAATGAATATCTTGCATTAGCATCCCATTGTTTCGAAGGTGGTGAATCAGCAGCAATTGAATATCTGTTAAATCGTCATGTATGTGTCTCTGACTTATCATCCACAACTTTGAAAACATGTTTCGTTGTATGTTTTTGAATAGCGCGCGATATTTCGTTCAACGAATCAAATGATTCTTACGTGGAGTGAAACATATTTACGTACATGTTTAACAAATGCCTTTTCTTCTATACGTTCATCGCCTCCTAATATTTTAACATATTTGAATGAACCACCAACTTCAAACCAACTCCCCCAGGAACATCATAATGGCGTTACCTTGTCAACCCCAGTTAATACGATCCCGCAAACATCAACGATTGCAAGTAAAACAGGTAACGAAAGACAAGAACAAAAGTTAACAATGACAACAGCAAGTCAAGAGAATACTAATTGGCAAGCCGATTTGCCAGAAGTAAGTTGAACTGATTTAGCAGGATTTTTTTAACGTTTATGTTTGTAATACACTGCTTTTTAGGATTGGATACCAATTGTTATTGGGGATGTTGCTGTTCAAACTCATGTTCAACCTCAACCACCATTTAGTAATGCATACAAAGATGGAATACCGGCAAAACGACGACGTGTACATAATCGTGAAGATTTAACATCAACAAATCTACTAAATAACATATTAATTCGTGCTGCTCAATCATCAAATACTCAGTCACAATTACCAGATTCTGATAGTCTACGTCATATGGCTTCATCACCTGAAGTATTGCAAACATTTGAACAAGAATTAAAACGTCTATTAGAATTACGTTTAAAAAATGATCGTGATTATGAAAAAATACATACACGAATGCCAAATACAAAACGATATTTAGAAGAATAAGTCGAATTGTCTCTTTCGTCCACAACAATAAAGATGATGTTATATTTTTTTAAGAACAGACAAAGACTTTTTGTACAGGTACAAACAATGTCGTATTTACTCCTTGTTTCATGATTCGGCGTTTCTCTTTCTCTCTCTCTCTCTCTCTCTCTCTGCTTTCCTAGTAAATGAAGAAAACGCTACGATCGATGCTTGTGTATTTCTCTTTCTTTTTGTTTGAATAAACTATGCTAAACAATAGGATTTTCATTAGAAATTTTTAGTCAGTAATGACACTTAAAATATTACAGAAGAGATATTTTCTACATAAATTCAAAATAGAAGTAATGGAGTATCTCTTAGATAGTCAATTGTGAATAAGGTCGAGATGTCTAGAAATACATACTTGTCATATCTTATTTTTCATTTGACTCTCTATGTGTAAACATATGTATGAACAAAGATGATGTACATCATTTCTAAAATTCTGAATATTATATTAAAAACAATTTAATTTCTAATAAAAAAAAAAAAAAAAAAATCGAGGAAATATCAAACAACATTATTTTCCAGGTTCATAGAAAAAACATTTTTTTAAATATAGGCCGTCATTTTCTACTGCCGTAAAAAAACATATTCTTGGCCATAATACACTTCGTTGACGTACATGTATTAATGATGATGATTCTTCATTATTATTATCTAATTTTGACATTCTCTCTAATCCTAGTGCCGTAGATAAACCATATAATTTAACTACATTATCATTCATATAATCGAAATTCGACTGTAAATTTTCATCATATTTTACTATCGGATCAGAAATTATATGATCTTGTGTAGTTGGAAATAATGTAACATCATCTAATCTATTATCATTAATTAATCGATAACTTGTGCAATATTTTGTCATAGTTAATATCAATATCATTATAAGAAACCATGTTTTAAATTGAATACAATTACATTTTGTGTACGTATTCTTTTTGATTAACCATTTTTTAAAATTTATATTCATATTTATTTTCATTTAACAATGATGAAAGTATTAAAAAAAGTTTATTTTTAAAGTCAACAAAGATGTTATAATAATATTGTCTAGTTTTTCAAATGGTAACATCAAATTAGTAGAAACCGTTAATGAAGATCAAAAATAAAAAAAAAAAGAAAGAAGATATATATTTAATATTTCATGAATGTAGGCAGAGTTTACTTTTCTTTTGTTAATAAAAACATTTTCAATTGGTTCTTCTTTGTATGATAGATACTACCTTTTTCTTTCTTAAAGTTTTTAAAAATTGTATACGAATAACAGATGTGTTTATAAACCACTCACTTTCTGTTAGTATATTTATAAAATAAGGTAACCATTTCTTAATAATTAGTTTTTTTCTTCTTCTCGTAGTCATTATTTCTCTAAAACTAACAAGAATTAATGTTTAATAAATGTCTTCGTATAACGGTCCATAGCCTTGGATGAATGTCAAGCTCATAATGCATTCTTAATCGGAAAGTTTTTTTTTTTTCCAAGATGTTATTATGTATATATAGTTTCTCACCTTTTTCGTTCTCTTGTCATAAAAATTTCTTCAGAATATTAAATTTGATTAAAGATATGTTTGTTGATTTTAAATAAAAACTATGAAAAAAAAACTGTCGACTTGTTTCTTCATAGATAAATTGAGCAATATACTCAAAAGATGAATTTTTGATGTAAAATAATTTTTTTTGCTACATTAATTATTAGTTCATATGACAATTTGTTTCTTCGTTTAGTACCAGTATTAACAAAACATAAATTGAAAAAAACAACAATGCCGGAGCAACAGAAAAAAAAGAAAAGAAGACAGAAAAATGAACTATACACCCACGCACACACATAGTAGTTTTAAAAATAAAAATTATTTAATAAGCATAAATTGAGTTTTTAAAAAAACAAAACATTATCACTGTAATTTAGTCGTAAGAAAATCTTTTTTTTTGTTCTCCTTTTACACCGGGTAATTAGAAAATAGGATGATATTTAAATTAGACTTTTTAAAAATTATTCTTATTGTTTGACTGTCTTGAATGATTTTGGAGCTACAAGTACAGATAAGAATGGAATAATGACATAGAATAAAACTATCTTTAAACATATTCTTTTAGAAGTTGGATTATTCTCTTTGTAGATACCACATTTAATATATTGTATTTTGTTTTATGATTAAATAGTTTCAAACTTGTATCTTGAAAAACATATTTTTGTCATGACAATAATTATCCATCAGCTAAGAATAATATATAAAAGAATGTAAGAAAAATATTGATATACATAATTATTTAATATTTCGACGTTTTCGATATTTTCCAAATAAAATTTTTGCAAATGCTTGTCTAAAATCTGGACTAAATATTGTATAAATAACCTAAAAATAGATGAAAAAAAACAAAAGAAGAAATATATAGAGACTTTAATATCTTTAATATAATTTTTTTATATTCGTTTTTTACCGGATTTAGTAGACTATTAAGATATCCTAGCCATGTAAGTACACTAATAAATTTTTCATTAATTGTAAAATGAAATAAACCCATGGCAAGTTCTTCAATAAAAAATGGTAGCCAACATACAATAAAACAGCCCATAACAACGCCTAAAACTTTTGATGCTTTACGTTCACGTTTAATATCAATTTTTTTTCGTACTGGATGTTTTGGTTTTGACGGTATTATAGAAGTATTATCTGTCTGATGAGTTAATAATATTTTTGGTGTCTCATTTATATGACTATCTACTGATGCTGATAAATTTGTTTGAGGTATTTCTTTGAATTGAATTTGTGTTGTTGGTGTTCCCGATGAATTTATTGTTGATAAAACAGATGTTAAAGATTCTGAAACGTTATTATTATGAATATGAAAAGCGGGGGTTAATAATTCAGTTTCAGCTACATTAAATGATACTTTTTCACATAATGAAATATTTCGATTATCATATATATTGTTTTTTTTTAATAAACGACGTGTAGATGAAACTGATTGTATTGGCGTATTTAACTGATGAATATCATCATCATCTTCATCATCATTATTATTATCAATTGTATTAAAAAGTTTTTGTGATAGTGTTGGAGAAGAATAGTAGTTTAGTAGACGATTTGTTGTTGATATTTGAATCGCATTTGGATTATGAATATTTAATAATGGTGATGATGGTGTTGTAGGTGGTGTATGAGGAGGAGCATTATACGTAGTAGTTACAAATTGTTGTGGATTATTTAATTGAGAAAATGCTGTTGTTTTTGTAATTATTTGTTTTGATCGTTTTTTTCTATTTAACAAATAGTATGATGCTTTAGCTAGTGGAGTAGGAGATGGTGATGTTGATCTTTGACAATCACCATCGTGTTGTTGATGACGTTGTACTTTATTATCATTGTTATTACAATTGGGTGTTGTTATGATTGACGGTTGATCATGAGATGAGGAATATGTTGATACTTGTTCATTTTCAATATCCGAATGTTGATGATTTTCTAGGGATTTTTTTGTTTGTTTCTTATGAAATCGTATAGATAGTTTTCGATGATGATGATGATTATTATTATTATTTATTCCAGTATCTGCTGTTTGAATAAGTGGTGGGGCTGGACGACTGGTAAACGCTTTTTTTCGAATACGAAATTTAGCTGCCTGAAATATTTTCCAATAAATAATACACATGACAATTAATGGAATATAAAATGCACCAATTGTGGACAAAATAGTATAAGGTATTGTCCCGATGAGATGACATTGATCGTATGGTCGACCTTTTTTATCTCGAAATATAGGAAATAAATGTGCACTCGATATCAAAATCGATGTACACCATATAATTGTTATTGATATTATAATTCGCGTAGGTGTTCGCTTTGTTCCATAATCGATATTGGTAATAGCCCAATATCTGTCTAATGCAATAGCAACTAAATGCAATATAGATGCTGTACAACATAATAAATCGATAAATATCCATGCATCGCATATAAATGAGCCTAATATCCAAGAGCGAGTAATTTCTTTTAACAATGCTATTGGCATTACCTAAAATAATGACATTATCATAAGTTAAATGCTCAGAGTCAACAAATATTGTCTAAGATGAGAAAAATACACAAAAGGTTAAATAAACATTATTTTAGCACTATACAATAGTGAAATGAATTCTATTCTTCTAATTTTATTATTTATAATCTGGTATCTTTCGATTATGTAATGAATTTTTTTTTTTATCATAATTCCAGGGATGATATTGTTTACTATTTATACCTAAACAAATACTAATTAAAATAGAAATGGGTGAACATAACATGCCAGATATACACACGCACAATATTGTTTTTTTTTATTTTCATACTATTCTTCGTTTCTGAGTGGGGCACTTAGAATGTATGTGAATAGTTCATTTGATCATACTTGAAAATATGGATATGTCATCAAAAAAAAATTCTTCTTCCGTGCTTTTGTGTATATTATTCAATATACTCATTTGTGACCTGACTATGTACTCTTTTTTGCACAATTGAATTTTCTTTTAAAACTAACAATCGATATATATTCATTTTCTTTTTTTATTTTCACACAATTCAATTTTGTCTGAAGTAGACTTGAACGATTTTAAGTAGATTGAATACACAAAGTCAGTGTTTTACAATTGAGATCATATTTTGAATTTAGAATCTCATTTGATATATAAGTTTCCTTAAAAAAAACTTAACTTCTTAGAAGTTGTCTTTATAGATACAATGGTCATTTTATGAAGATTTGCCAGATGATAACTCTTATCTTAGAAATATCGATTTCTAGTTATGTACCTGGAATCAATGTCAGACATACAATCGACACTTCAACTTTTTCTATCATAAGAACAAAAGGATGAAAGACAAAATTAGCTGTCTATCTATAGCATACATACCAGCTACTAAATATTTATATTTTACTACTTCTCTCATATTATATATCAGAATTTCACACTATTTTAGTATATTCTGTATTGAAACAAACTCATGGACACGTTGAATGAAACAGTTTATACCTCAGCTTCGGATAAATGTTCTTTGACTCTCTTATTAGTTGACTGTCGAACAGGACAGCATAACTTGATGGTGTTCGTCAAGTACTTGGAAAGTACTGTTTTCGAACCTCACCATCGTCAAAGTCATGTAATAACCTTGGCTGCAGTTGATGACTAGTAATGGGCGATCGTTTCAGAAGCTTGTCAACTGCAGAGAAGATATCGAGCTAATGATACTGCCATTCGGCACCCTATACCAATAACGGTAGCCGCAAGGTGGGATATTCTTTCTTCGTTCCTAACTATCAAACACTCTAAACTTCACTGAAATCATATTTAGTCGATGTAATTTTTATAAGATCTTTTTAATTGCAATTTTTATAACTTCAGAGTTCAAAAATTTAAATTTTTCTAAAATTTTTAAATTTACACTATATTATTCTTAAAAAATTTGCTTGTTTCATCGTCTAACAAATTGAACTCTCTTATTAATTCGTTCATTTTTACACCTTTATTATGTAACTCTAGGATTCAAGTGGATGCTGAAAACCCGAATGTAAACGAATAATGTGAACGGTCACTGTGTATGTACATGTCAGATTAACGCGTACCAACTGATGACAGAAAATAGTTTAAGTTATCTATCTGCATGCGTCACTAATTGATTGTTGAAATGATCGATAAGCTCAGAAATAATTTTTATTATTATTAATATCTATCAAAAACATATAAACAACTTATCATTTGATGTTTATTTTTTCCAAAATATCTTTGATGTTTTTATTCATAATACAAGATATCCCACCCCTTTTTTCTCTTAAAATTCCACAGATGATGCGAAAGAACTACGCATTTTAATTTGTATCTGATATATATATCTATACATATGTAGAAACTCTCTATTTCTATGTGATAAAATTTATCTCTATAAGATATTTCGCCAACAAAGTCCAATGGGAAACGTACATGACTGTATAAACGTTGCTTTGGGACAAAAATTCGAAAGTTCCACTTTTTAGGATATTAATAGAATAAACTAAGGACAAAGACTGAAAGAAGTATAAAGAAGAAATCATGGAGATTTGATTAGACACAAATGTAGCAAGAAAACAAAAAATAAAGAAGAATAGTGTGTATAATAAGTTTTAAACAATGGTGAATGAATAAAATAGAAAATATGTAAAAATCAAATGAGAAAAAGAGAGTAGAATGAAAATGGATGATGATACGCCGACGACAACACTAAATAATAAAATCAAATTGTTCGGTCTTATTTTTTATGATATAGTGTGTAGTAACAATAATTTTATTTATTCAAACAGTAAAAAAAAAAAGAAAATCATCGTAGTGTCTATGTCAATATATAAGGAATATAGAATGATATATCAAGGCGGACATTTTTTGTAGAGATTGACGTTATTTGATATTGATAAACTGTGCTGAATCTCATGATGATGTAGTACATATTCTTTTCAATGTATAACAGATTGTCATCACTGGAGAAATCAGCGATCACGCTCATAGCCAAGGATAGAAAATTTTCAAATACGGGATATTGACGTAGGTGATGGATACAAAAAAATGTCTAATCATGTGTCAATTAGTTGTTGTAAAAAGATAATCCAGATTTAGCATTGAGTCAGTTAACCATTAAAGAGTTAAAAAATAATATAAACGACTAGTAAAGGTTTTGCCTATGATTTCTTAATTTACTGTTTTCTGACAAATCATTTTACAGAAACACGTGGTAGGATTACTTGATATTGCCAATCAATGACATAATTAAGCAACAAAAGTGTATGCTGTTCATCCACGAAAGATGAACAATTTATTTTTTATGATGTCTAGACACATATTAGGAAAGAAAATCATAGAATTCAGCAACTATTACACGTACAGAGTTTTAGTTAAATAGGCGGTTAGTTATCCGTTAGTCTTGCACACAAATCATTTTAATATCTGAAAAAATTTCTGCACATACTGAAAAAGTACTAAAATTCTATGATTTGTCTAGAGAATGACTTTCACTATGAAGACTTACGCTTTGAAATTCTATTAATTCTATTAGAGTAGTGTGCGATCAAGAACAATTTCGCGATTATGCCAGTATTTGTTGAATACCTTTCTTAATTTTAGAGATATTTTTGCGTGCGTTGACAGTCATACAGGCTAGACTCCCATCGATACGCTTGTAAAAAATGGTGTCAAAATGCTTCAGCGTATCGGTCTTCCAGTGATTTTACTGGTTCGCTCCATAGTTTTCTTGATCCGCCTCGTTTGGGACAATTCAAGAAAACACACAGCTCTGAGTGAGGTGAATCAAGAATATTATTTTGTTACTCTAGTTTAAACCGTCAAACGTATCTTCGTCAGTTCTTCTTGAACAGATAGTAAAAATTAAAGTTTTAAGTTGGGTTCAAGGAGTCTTAAGCCAAGACACTTGTTCTCGTATCACTCTCTATCTCTGCTAATAGCAGTCAGAAACGCGTCTAGTAACAGTTTCTGTTTGTTATTCATCAAGTATGAAAATTTACTCAATTAACGCTAATTATACCTAAGATAATTGGATTTTACAAAAGTTAAAAAATACTGTTTATTTTAACGGGTATCTGTGATTCACCCCATTCAGGGCTATGTGTTTTCTTGAATCATCCCAAACGAGGCGGATCAAGAAAAGCGGTGGGACAAATCAGTAAAATCACTGGAAGACCGATACGCTGAAGCATTTTGACACCATTTTTTACAAGTGTATCGATGAGAGTCTAGCCTGTATGACTGCCAACGCACGCAAAAAGATCTTTAAAATTAAGAAAGGTATTCAACAAATACTGGCATGATCGTGAAATTTTTCTTGATTTATCCCACACTCTATCTATTTCTTTTTACAGATAGATTTAAAATTAAATGACTTTTACAATGTTCTTTAACTGTAATTGTGCAATTTTCTTTTCTTTTTGAAGACTGTGTAAAACTCATTATTAAAACATTCTACAACAAAGCAAAACCGTATTCCATTATCGCCATTTGTTCTTTATATCGAATATTGTTGTTGTTGTTTATTGACCAACTATATAATAAATGATATTTATGACCTTTATTTTCTATTCTTCTCTTCATCTATGGATAAATAGTTGGTTTTGATAGTGATCTTCATCACGTTTCGTTTTACGTGAATAGAATAATAATGATAATAATGAATGTAAATATGCAACAACAGCAGCCTCTTTAGTTTCTAATGAGTTACCCTTTTTCCTTCTTTATTTACAAGTGTATATTCATTCGATTTTTCTCTTTTATCTGAAAAATCAGACAAATTTTTTTACTATATACAGTGATCTAATTTCTATATGCTAGAGGACGGCGTTAATCAGAGATAATCTGTTTGTTTCTTTAATAAAATGCGCTCTGAGAAATATTCTTTTATTCACATAACACATCAATCAAACTACACTTGAAACACGCAACCCTTTTTTTTTGTCTATAGAAGACAATATAACTATTTTTAACTTTGCATATGGAGAAATTTGAGAGAAAAATATGCTAAACATATGTGTTAACACCTTATTAGCGTTTTTCATCAGTAAAAAAAGGTGCACACAAACATACATTGTTTTATTATAGAAGAAAAATATCAACAATGCATAATTGATGTCTTTATCTTCGAAGAAAAAGAAAAGCCTTCATTGATGTCTTTTCCTTATTCTCGTATGTCATTATCACATCGTCGATTCGACAAGATGATGCGTGTGTGTAAATGAACTTGATAGGTGGGTTACTATGTTTCAGGTTTGAAAAGTCCATTAAAAGAAACGCTACTTCTAAAGAGATTGTCACATTAGAAGACTCTGTTGAGCTCATTATATAAAGGTTTTAATGGAAGACCTTCATTATTCCTATTATATGTCGATGATGCGGCAAAAAAATTAACAAAAAATAAATTATATGAATAAGAATTTGTTATAGTTGGTACAAATTTTCAAGTTTGATCTATGAATGATCTTAAAAACAGAAATCTGTCGGACTATTCTATAGTGATCAATCAACTAATTATAGAATATCTAATTAAAATGAAGAGTCAGTTAATTTACGATCCGAAGGAGAGAAAAGTATTATGGTTAATACACTAACAACTTTATATTTGAAAAAAAAGTCGTCGTAAAGATAAACAACGTATGATTATAGTATAGATTATTAGATCAAAAGTAACAATAAACAAAATTTAAAACTGATAACATCGAGTTGATTGCGCACGTTTAATCGTTGCACAATATATGGACTAGAAACAGGACTCAAGTTACGATACTCGTACAAAATTGATTTAGTATTTCGTCAGTAGTTTAACACGTTCACTGTTTATGTATCATATATCATCAGCATTTAATTTTTGACCATGAAGATCGTATCAGATATGATACATTTACAAGATTAGATTAAATATCATTTTTTGTTTTAAATGTGAAATGTACATAAAAACTGGCAATAGGAACATGTGAGAGAAGGTATGAAGTATGTACCATATGAACATGAACTTCATGGTCAAAAATTAAATGAATCATATATGATACATGGACAGTGAACGTGTTAAGTTTGAGAATTACATAATGCTTTGTATTCTGAACGTATAAAGTTTAGATTTTTTATTTTTATTTTAATCAAAGATCAATATAAAACAAACAGAAGATTTCTAGTAGTAGCTTAGTATCAAACCTATTTTAATTCTAGCTAACTGTGTATCATTGAAAGACAGTATTTAAATCTATTCGTTATAGAAAATTTCAAATTTTTTACATTGTATGACCGATACTTTATAATCAAACTTCTTAAAACTTTTAGAAAAAGAGCTGAGTAAAAGTTTTTAATGAGATATTCTCATGGGAACACAAATCGCTATTTTATTTAAATATAGCGGCAAAACTTTGAATAATGCTACGTTAAATTATGAAAAAATGTTTTAGTCTATTGCGAAAAAACCAGTGATTAAATAAATACTGCACCATCCTGTATATGGTTCATGGCAAAGATCGTAGTTGAATCGAATATAAATGAAAATACACGTAAGATAATGATATTTTTTCAATTGGTTGAAATAATTCAAAATAAATAAATGCTTTTAAAAATTCAAAATAAAACAAAAAAAAATGACAAAATAAAAGTGGAATTAAACATTGAAGAGATTATCTTATGCATGAGGAAAATAGGAGAGTTCTCTTTTAAGTATTTATAGATCTCATTTCATGTTTTCGATTCAGTTTATGAACATTTATATTAAATTTAGATATTCTAAAATTTGTGAACATTCACAAGCAAAATAAGAAATGGTATAGGATAAATGTGTTTTTGTTGATGTAATATATAACATATTCAAGAAGAATAGTGATCCAATACCAGAGACTCGTCCGTTTTTAACGCAAACAGTTATACACATTTCAATCAAGAATTATCTTATAAAAAAAGATTTATACATGAGAATACATAGTCTCATCTGAAGTTTTAGACTTAAAGGTCAAAGTCGACAAAGTATTTATTAATTCTCTGAATGATTAGACAGAAGAGACAAACCACACATCATCAATCAATTCTTTTGTTTTATGCAAAAAAAAAACATTTTTTTTTTTCCATCTATACGCTTAAGATATATTATACAATAAAAGACTGTATAAATATATTATAAAATTGATACAAATATTTCTTTAACAAATTCAATAAAACAGTGTTTCACACTTAACAATATTTTCACATGGAATGAAAATATTTTAGAAAGATCAAACGTACTGATTTTTAATATTACTTTTATATTCTAGATAATTATTCTATATCTATACATGATAACTACTTAAAAATTGGAATCCTATGCAATTTTTCACCTATCACTTTTACTGAAACATAGTAGAATTCAAAAATGTCCGTTTTAGTACATTTCAAAACCTATCATTTATTTATCATTTTGAAGTTTTCTAGTATGACTTAATTTTATATTGAAAAGTCTTACCAAATATCTAATTATTAAAATAAGAAACAATAGAAACATTATGATTATCCTTTAATTTAATTATTTAATGAATTCTTTTTGTTTTTTTGTTAATGTACTTACCATTGAGGCAACCATTAAATCTGCTGCTGCTAATGACACAATTAAATAATATGCCACTGAATGTAAACTTTTCTCTAAAAATACAGCAGCAATAACAAATATATTTCCTGTTATTGTTGCTAATATAATTCCTCCGAGAATGATTGTGGTCAATATACAATGTTGAATTGATACAAGAACATTTGTATCTTGTTGTATTGTTAAAATATTTCTTGTTGTTTGATCGTCTATATTGTTGTTGTTGGTGTCTATATTGTTTGCATCCAATATAGATGATGAATTTAAATATATACTTCCGTTTATACAAGATAAATTGTATGTTAAAAAACAGTCCATTGAATCGAACATAAACTATTAAATGATGATGATGGTATAATCGATTAGAATTTAACGAGAAGGCCAACGAGGCCATAAACAACGAATGTTCGATACACTTTTAAAATTATTAACCAACAATAATTGATGGTAATAGTGGACGGATGTTGTACGACGATAAAATATATATTCCTACAAATTAAAATCAATCAAATTACATTGTCATTGAAGATCAGTCGATTTGTTTTTATTTGATCTTTTGTCTTTGAAACATTGAGTCACGATCTATTTGTATGGATGTGTGGATGGATTATTATTATTATTATAAAAACCAACAATTTTTTTTTTTCGTACAAATGCTTGTATCACTCTTTCTTTTTCTTTTGTTGAGGAAATGTACTAATAATGAAAATATATATCATTCGTTGTTGGAATAGAGAGAAAAATCATCATCATCATCTGAAAAGAAAAATAATAATAATAAATATATAGATAGAAATATACGAACATAGTTTTTTTTTTCTTTTTCTTTGTTCAAATACAACAGAACAATCATAAGTAATATGCTTAGAAGAAGTTGAAGAGATAATTGTATCCCTCTTTCTCACTATCTTCATCTATTCGTCTTTCTCATGAGAGTGCCAAAACAATAATCGAACAAATACCACTGCTTCCCAATGCACAAACGCGATCATATGAGAGAGAAAGGGACTAATCTCTCTTTACGTAAATCTGAGCTGTATGATCTTCTATAAAATCAATAAATAACTACGGTATATGAAAAACAATTAGATTTTTTTTCTCTATGTAACTGTATACTACCATAAGGCAGTTAGAATTAATAATAATATTATAATGTTTTATTTTTGTTGACTATCTTTCTGATTTCTTGAAAGATTAATTAAATCTCATCATACCAAGTAAATATCAACTGTTTTGGGTAAATTTGATATCTAAAAAGCAAACAACTGTTCCATCTCACTAATCAAATATTATCACAAATGGTTTTTTACGATGTTTTATTAGTATACAATGATGTCATCTTTGTATGTTTGTTATTCTCACTTGCCGCTATATAGTATTTATTAACGTGCACGTTTTTACTGATTCGCACTGTGTACGCCTAGCATTCCTTCTCTCAAAGATTTTTAATTTTCTTAGTTTATAGTTAATATTCTAAACGCTGTACATATATGCATAATATATATCATCACACGAACAAAGAAGAATAGAAGATTGTTATGTTATATTCTTTTGCCTCTATCTATCTCTCGATTTTTTAACTAAAAAGAAAAATGTTCCATTAACCATAGTTTCTGATATATATATTTTTTTATTTGATTGACATCTTCTAGTCAAATAATTTGGAAAAAAGCATATTTTTGACCTTTGAGTTATTTTTCGGTGTTTATCGTATACTAAAAAATAAAAACAACAAACTTTTGCAAACAAAATAAAGAACGTCCAGTTATTACTAAAGAGAATTTGTACGAGATCTTTGTGTGTATCTTAAAAATAATTGTTGAGCCTGATCATCTTTGGAATGTATTAAACATTAATAAGAGTATCAATTATTTTCTGATTAGATCGAGAAAGATTTTATATAACTTAACCAAATTTTTACAAACTAAGAAAAAAACCTTAATATTCATCAAAAGACATATATATATATATATATATATATACAGACATATATCCAATTATTATTATTGTTACTAGATGTTGAAAGATGAATACGCCGATCTTCGTCGCAAATGCTTTTATAAAGTAGCTCTATGTGGAAAGATGTCGAGATGTCTCTGTGTTTAAGACATCAACAACGTTTTTCGGGGTACTTTATATTCAAAACTCGTATATAAAGCTAATGCCTAACGTCAACTCAAATGCCATTTGTATGTCATCAAATCGAGAACACGTAAAGAAGAAAAAAAGAAGAAAAACTGTATATATCAAAAACTGTCAGAATGTTTCGTCAGTCTATTATTTGCTGTACTTACACTGAAAAATATTGAATAACAATAAAAGAAAAAAAAAAAAGCACCGCATCTTTACAGCCACCTGAACACAAGGATATCTAGTAGTGGATGATTTAGTATATAGGTTGATAGAATTTTCAACTAGTTTTTATTATCTATATAACCATATGATTTGTTTTCTGTAAATAAATTAAATAAGGCAATAGTGACCTGTCAACGTTGATCAATAACAAATACTAATACTGAAAGAAAAATAAGATTGAGGTTTTGTTAATTGTGCTTTCCAAAATGTATATCATAAATGTTCTAATAGTCAAATAGACAATAATTAATTTTATTTCTTAGAATTTCTTATTATTAATTGGCGTACATATTTGTACTTGCTTAGATTTGAGTTATACAGGAGGAAAAACTATCATGTTTTTTGTTGTTTTTTTATTAATGAAGACGACCATAAGATCTTTTCCCGTCATTAAAATTCATGTTTTTACTCATTGAGATATAATTTGTGGATAAGTAATCTTCGATAAATTATTTTTGTTTTTCTCTGTTTTTAGTCGGCGATCTAATCCCAAATGTCTTTAAATTATGGAGACATCATGTGTTACTATAGACACAATTTTCTTGATCTACTTCTATTTTTGTTTTATTATTTCTTTCTTTGTCAATGTGACAAATTTTCCACTATTTAATCGTTAAAGAGAGAAAGAGAGACAATGAAGACAAACGAAGGTCAACAACAATTGAGTTAAGACTGACCATCTAAATAAAAAACAATCTTTTAAGTAATAAAAAAAAATTAGAGACATAAAAAAATTTATTACACAAAAGCAAAAGTACCATGATAAAGTAATGGATTTTCTTTTTGAATTGAGTAGAGATTTTATAGGACCTATGTGAACAATATTTTCTTTGTTCTTGATGATGTTTATCATTATTCAATGATACAAATGTTCATATAACATGCAAACATTATTTTTTGAAATGGGAAAAATGTCTTAAAGAAAAGTGTAGTTTATAGAAAGAGGTATATTATTGTGAATGTTAACAACACTTTGTTACATCTAGTTAAAAATAAAAAATAAAATCGATCATCATATAGTAGAAAACAAAAAGATTGTCGGTGTCTCTGATGACTTACAATATTAAGAATTATACCTTTTTATTTATAGTCTATATAGATCGAATTAGAATGAAATATTTTGACATTTATTACTGACATAAATAAATGAGAATTGTGACTCTGTATAGTGTAATATTAGTAGAATAGATAATATTCTTTTCTGGTATTCAAAACACAATCGTATAGAACTATTTGAAATTTTATTCAATATTTATGTAAAAAAATTTTTAAAATAAAAAAAATATATTTAAATATAAGAGAAAAATACAATTGAAAATTTTTAATCTTTTAAGATAGAATCCTCTAACTCTTCTATCATTTGTAACGTAATATATTTATGAAGTTGAGCACATGGTTAATCATTAGTTTGGTTACGCCAATAAATCATATCAATTTACCAATTGATTAACTAATAAAGAAATTTTTTTGTTGTTCTTTGTGTTAAAATTTTCTTTTCTCTCGTGGCTATTCGTCTTTCTCTGTTTCAATACATATTTACATAGATCTATCTATCTATATATATATATATATACAATAAACGTCGTTAATATTTTATAAAATATTCTTCTTTTCGTTCGTTCGTCGCTTTACGCTACATGTCAGAGATTCTGTCAAAAGATTATCTATAAAAATAGAAGAAAAATATTTTTCATGCTGGATTTAACTAAAATCGAAAGAAAGAATGATCTGAATGATTTTGTTCTTATATAGTCTATAGAGCTAGCTATATAAAATAAAGAAAGAAAAAATTAATGGGAGTTGTGAATTCAGTTGAATTAGTTCGTCGTTTCCGGAACAGATCAAATTATTAGTCTTGTCTTTATTTTATGAGCCATAAGGTGATTTAACAAAAATTGTGAACAAAAACTTCTACTAACAAAAATTTTAACTAAAATAATTTAATTTTCTTATTTATGATTATGATACTATCTGTATGTTACACTGACTAATAAATATGTATCATTTATAATGATAATATTTTAGTAGCTGAATTTAAAGATATAATTCACAGATTAAATTTAATTAATTGATTATTTTAATTACAATGTCTAGAATGACTACTTGAAAATGAACTAAGATAATAAAACGAAACTTACAGTGATCTAATTGAGATACAATTGGTAAATTTGAAGACATCTCTTCTAATTGATGTTATAACTATAAATTGTCACTTGACATAACAAAAGAGAAATTCAATCTAGCAATATTTGTAACATTTTATAATTGTCCAATAAAAATACTCACTTTTTTTTTTTTATTTTGAATGAAAAACTTGTTTCTATTTTTTTTTTTTAAATAACAACAGTCAAAACAAAGAAACGTTTTCCAACACATCGAGAAGTTATTATTTGTCGACAAGAAAATCTTTTTTTTTTTCTGCATATATTTGTTTATAACCACTCTTATTAGAAAAGTAAACTTCCTTTCAAATAGGCATAGAAAAGACGTACAATTTAATATCTTTTTTATTTTGTTTGTTTTCACTAATTTTGCCCACAAATAGCAAACATTAGAGTAGAATTCAAAATCAGTTGTTGAAAATGGTAGCTCATTCTAATGATCATACTGTTTAGATCAATCTTTAAAATGAGACCGTACTGCTTAGACTTAAGTATTAAAATTATATATTTAAATATTTTTCTATTCAAGTAAAGTGTGTATTCAGATTTGTGCAGTAGAGTTACGTAGATTCTATAATTTGGAAATACCAGTGCCGAAATGTCGACAAGATTCATATTAGTCTAGTAGAACGTATAGAAAATCTACGCAGATTATTAGAAATATTGACAGATCCTTTACAAATTTTTGTCGATGTACTACACATTGTAGTCTCAATGAAGTTGTTTGCGAAATATATAGAAAAGAAACAGATTGTTAATATATTATTAAATTATGTATTGTAAAGATATTTTAAAAATATT